AGAATATTTCTAGTTCTGTAGATGCTGATAGAATTTAGCTGCACTTACTTATAATTAGTATTTAACAGATTTTAAAGCTGATTTTTCAGGAGATAGAGCACTCACGTGGTCTTAAAATACAACATAAAAATAGGTCTTTGCAATGGAGAGATCTATCAGTCAATACCTTAATCAAGTGGCCATGCTTGGCAGTCAACAGCAGTGGTTTACGTCCCGACATTGTGTGCCCGTCACTCATGTGTGCTTCTCACTATATCACAGTATTACCTGTGTGATGGGCTTGCCAGAAATGTTTGACTTGAATATAATCACAAGAAAGCAGACAAATCCAAATGTGGGACATTCTGAAGACAACTGGCCTGGACTCTCAAAAGAATTCAGTGTCATTAAGAACCAAAAGGGGTTATTCTAGATTAGGAGGTGACTAAGGGAACATAAGATAAAAATGCAGTACATGAGCATTGATTAAGTCTTAGATCGGGAAAAGAAAATCCAGCTCTATAGGTCATTTTCAGGATAATTGAGGAAACATGTGGACCATACATTGTTTAATAATATTGTGTTAATGTTGATTTCCTTGGGTGTGGCGATGATGATGTGGTGGTGTAGGAAAATATCCTTGTTATCAGGAGATGAATAATAAAGAATTTAGGGGTGGCGTGTCATGAGGCGTGTCTGTAACCTACTTTTCAGATGGTTTGGCAAAGTGAGAGGGAAGGAGTATGTGTAGAGTAGATTGTTCTGTTCAGTGCTGCTCAGTTCCTCTTATAGCACCAAGCACATTGCTTTTGATGGGGAGGTGCCCAGTACATTTTTAAACTAATAAGTACTTTAAGGTATTGGTAGGGTTCTAGGTCTGAAATCATACCTCAGCACTACATGTCTGCCCTCTCTTTAGCAATGTGGTTTAGCTTAGGCATATACTATAGTACCTAATGTTGGGTACTTGGATATAGTGGTTCATGTTTTCTTAAGTAGCTCACCAGGGTCCCTCTGGACTGCGAGTCTCTCTTGAATGTTAGAAAGTATCAATGAATGGTAAAGGACCACCCAGCATATAGTCGACCTGTGTCTTTAGCTGTTTCCTGAGAGACCGAGGTACAATTTGTTAGCATGTACTTCAGGATATCTTCTGTATTTCTGTTGTCCAGTGTACCCACTTGGGGGCTGATACCTCTTGGGGTGTGCTGAGTAGAAGGAAGTACATCTCTGGAGTGCTGAGCAGCTGGGGCACCCCTGAGGTATTCTCCTGGGCTACAAGGCCTAGGGCCAGGATAAAGAATGGTGGATGCCTTTCCTCAGGCTTTGACCCTAACTGGTACCCTCGTAGCTAAGCAGGAAGGGAACAGAGAAGTTAATATTCTCTTATATTCCTGCAGGAACTCGTGTGGCTGTATGGTGTGAGATGACTAAAGCCAATTTAAGCAGCGTTAGCAGCCACTTGTAAAAGTAATTACAAAATGAGAGAAAGAAGAATGATTCTGCTACTACACGTTGTGAAAACTAATTATTTCAACAAACATTCATTGAGCAGCTCAGTGTATAGCAAGCATCACAAAGTATGAGTCCTGGGGGATACAAATGAGAAAATATACTCTTGCTTTGTGCCAGACACTTGGTGTGCGGGAAGGAGTTAGGGTCCAGTGGAGATTATTACCGACATAACGATTTTGCTATATTACAAGGCTAGTGATGTGATAGAAAGCTGGTAAAAAGTGTTAGGGGAATGCAGAAAACATGCCATGTGGAATTGACTAAGGTTTCAAAGATAAGATTGGTCTTGAGGTGACTTGAAGAATGAGCCTGGCAGGCACAGAAGTGGGGAGACGGTTGGCTTTCAGGAAAACGGCATGGCAGGTGCCCAGACAGGGGTGGGGAGCCTACAGCCATCTGATTTCAAGATTGTTCTTTTTTAAGCAGCAAAGGAGGCAAGAAAAGCTTCATCTTTTTCTGCTGCACCCCTTTTAGTAAAAGGATTTGTTCTGTAAAATTTGGATTCAGTTAAAAGGCTGCACTTAAGGACCTAGAAGGCCACAATGTGGCCTTAAGGCTGCAGGTTCTCCACCCCCATGGGGTCTCAAAAGCTGTGCTCAGGAGTTTTACAAGAAGGGAATGAAGTGCCTGGAAGCCCTTTGAAGTTGGAGGGTGACTCGGTTTTAAGTGATCCTGGAGGGAACGCGGAGGTGGCCTTGTGAAGGTGCACGTGTCTGGGGGCAGGACCTGCAGCATTTGAGGCCAGAGCAAAGAATAGAAAGTAGGGGTGTTCTTGGAGAATTCTTCCAGTCCCCCCACTAAAAGTTTAAAAAATTTTAAATCTAAGGAAGCCTTTAAAAATACTTGAAAGAGAAGCTTATTCAAACCTTTGAACGGTTCTGAACATTTATTATATTTCAGCTAGGAAAGAAAGTATTATTTCAGGCAAATTAGAACATGTGGACTGGTTACTCAGCACAGTTACCTAATCTTACAGAATTAGGCAGGAGGCAAGCTGTTTTAGTGGCCTTCGACCTCCTTCCAGAACTTTGTTGAGGTTCCTCCCAAATGGTCAGTGAATTTTTCTGATTTGTATCCAGCATCCCAGCAGGTTAATGTACATCTGTAAGCTGTAAAGATGTTGATTTCATTCATTCCTTACCCCCCCCCCCCGCCCCTCTTGTTTTCCACCTGAGAAAACAAGCACTAGTCCATAGGTTCTTATTCTTTCTTAGGAATTTGCACAACATGTAACTGAAGATGGATCCAGCTGAGAACTGTTACAGGTTTGGAGTTTAGACTAAACACCAGCGGGATCTTTGCATTTTTTTTCTTTATTTTGAGAAAAGCTCAGTGACTTGTACTGTTTGAAGGAGCAATTATTACTATATAAAATACCTCCTGCTAATTGGCTATCTGGGATAAACCACCACTTTATCTTCTTTAGATGTCATTAAATCATTTCTACCCACAATTTAGAGCTTTTCCATGCAGATTTTAAACTTAGAATACTTTGAACCTTGATGAATGAAAAAATCTTACAAAATTAACCTGTTTTCTTGATTGAGAAGTCCCAGGTTTATGAGGCTCCATATATAACTTACAAAGGTTTATAATTCTTTTGTCTTCCTTGAGGTTTGAGTATTTCAGAAAGTTCTTGGCATGGTCTCTTTGAGGTTTGGTATACAAAGAGCAAGGAAAGTTATGTGTGTATATTCTACTTTGGCTCCAAAGCAGTGATTCTAGTGGTGATATGGGACCACTAGATTCCAAGGTAAATAAGGTGGTTTACTAATGTCAGATTAGTGTGTTAGTCTTCGAGTACCACAATAAATGTTTTAAGCAACTTCAGTCATCTGTAGTAAAGAGCTTTCCAATTCGATTTGGTAGTTTTGGTAAAGGAATAATTGAAGGTTAACTTGATACTAGATTAATACTCACTGAAATATAGTTGTTAAATTGTTCACATACCAAGGATTATAATTTCTTAATATTAGGAAATATTCTACAAGGCAACTGTCTTGATATTGGAACTGCACTGATGTTATTGGTGCTTTTCCCCATGTACAGCCTAGCCTATAGCTTAATATGTGTAATTATATTTACAATAAAGGATATATTATAAAACTCAATTACATTTTATTTTCGAGAGTAGGCTTCATTTACTTGATTGAGAATTTGTTAATTGTATCTTGGGTGCCTATCCTTCTGCTAGGAGATGAATGGAAGTTGCTCCTTGTCTTTGAAAAGAAGACATTTTAATGGGAGGCAGAGATAAACAGATAATTATAATATAATGTGATAAGTGTGAAAGTAGACATTAAAAAACACGAATATGGAGAATTTCAAAAGTACAGAGAATAGGAGAATGAACCCCCATGAACCCATCAGCAAACTTCAACAATGACTTGGTTATGCTTATTTCACCCATACACCCCAACTTCTCTCCTCCCCACTTTTATTTTGAAATAAGTCCAAGACAATGTATCATGTGATAGACATTAATAGATATTTGAATAGAGTACTCTGAGAATACTCTGGGAAAATAAACTATACCTGGAGACTTGGGAAGGAGCTACAGAGAAGTAACATTGGAATTCAATCTAGGTGGGGAGACGGATGTTTTTGTTACAGGTGATGGGATGGGAACCAACAATTATTGCAATGTCTTGAAAATATGTATGTGTATTCCTCTGAATTGAGCACCCAGGATGTAATTTCAATGATTAGGAAATTATTTTACCTGAGAAATTTATACAAATAATTAATTTACTTTTAATTTCGATAAATCAGGATAATCTACGAGTTGTGCTAATGACTAATCTGTTTTCTTTTCACCCCAATGACTTTCTTTCTTTCTTTCTTTTTTTTTTTTTTTT